TCACAAAAATTATAATTTTGTGGAATGTATATATATGGAACATTTTTCGAATGTATAAATAAAATATTTAATTATTTAAATATTACTCTTACATTCTAAAAGTATTTCAGAATATTCCGGAATACTCTTGGAATTATTATTTTGGGATTTTAAGAACATTTCACGAATGTTTCTGGAATATTTAGCGTCAACTAGATGGTAATACAAAATTCCTGTTTTATTTAAAATAATCCTAATTGTACTTTAAACTTAGTATTAATTTGTATAATAGAAATCAAACTAGTATTCAACAAATGTCGCGTGTTACATATTGCGTAATCTAATATTTATTAATTAAACGAAAATCAAGATTATTTTTATAAGTAATACTAATTACATTTAAAAAATTCTTAGATATGTTGCCTATATACGTGTGTTCTTATTAATAAAGAAAAAAATTAGCAAAAAGAAGATATTATTAAATTAAAAGTTATTCTTCTTTTTTATTCATTGCGTGTGTGAAATTTTGTCGAACATTCATAGGACACTCACCGTTCTTTTCATCGTATTCGTCATAGTTCTCGTAGTTATAATCATATTCATAATCGTTGCTAGACTGCTGAGCCTGATGCTCTTGCGGTTTGGATCGTTGTTTCCTCAGTCTGTTTTTCATGGCGTTCACTTGATCCGGCAAAGGCAACAGCAGCTGAACCACGAGAAGTCCCGTGATCAGCTCTAAAGCCCGCCGTCTCATCGTGAAGTCCCTCTATCCGGCAGGGGTGGAAAAACTTCACTGGAGAACGGAGAAAATATAGATTCTAATTCCGATTCGCTTGCATCGCAAGACTGAAAGCAACTAGACTCATAACAACCGGCGTGTCATCTATTTAGCAGATGTTCTGCATGATGCAGGAGAGGTTGTCATCCTCTATTTTACAAGATGCACGCGGTTCTCCCGCTGTCTTATTCCATGATCACCCCCATACCGTCCCTCCATCTGATCTGTACCCTTCTTTATCAATGTATTTCTTTCTCTTGAATAAGAAAGAGAAGAGAAATAAAAATGCGTTTAAAGTCATTTGACAGGAAATACATAGGTAAGATTTTAAAACAATTTTTGTTATATATCAAGATTATTTTTTTATTTTAGATTATCAAGTGTGATGCTGATATATTGCAGATACTAAGGGATAAAATAGAATTCAACAAAATTCTTTTTTGACCAAATTTGTTCTTGCTTTTAAAGAATATTTAATTTTATATAAGTAAATATTATATAAGGGTGTATATATTTTTGAAATCAAACGTAAGTCTTCATAAGCAAAAAAATTCATTAGAGGAAGTACTATCTACTATAATCATTTAATTTCGACTTGAAAGATGTGTCCAAAAGTTTCAAGACTGGATTAAAAAACAAAAATATATAAATTTTATTAATGAAAACTTTTAACATAGTCCCTCTTGATTTCAATCAATGCATTACTCAGAACGTCTTTCACTAGTCAGAAACTTTTATGTAGTTATCTTTTGAGATAGTTTCCAATACGCTCTTTAATTACATTAAAGGCTATTTTGAATCAATTCACCTAGATATCCAAAATATCACCAAAACATATCCCTTTTATTTGAATTTTTCATTTCGGAAGTCAAATATCAAAGAAAGCAACTAATGTCATCTTGATTTTGAATTTTATCGCCTTTATTTTGATTAATTTTGCTTTCCATAAAAAATCAATCTAGGAATATTGAAACAAAATTTCTTTTAAAATGCAAACTAAGATTGACCAAACTTCTAGATTTGAATTTTAGACAAAATTTGATAATAGCTACCACTATTTCATTATGAAAATTTTTACAAAGAAACAAATCTTAACGAAACTTACATAGAGTATTTTTTATATAAAAAATATTCATTAGATTTCGATTCTATATTACAGCGCCGTAAAAATATCGTGTAAATAATCTAATAATAATTGATACTAAAGATGCAATAATTGTCAGAAAAATAGCATTACTTTAATTGTACGTTCAGGTAAAAATTAGTCTCAGAAGTCTTTTTAGACAGATTCTGTATATTAATATATTGTTGTAAATTATTAATTAATATATATATATATATATATAGTAGTATTTAACTGTAAATTAACTTAAATTAATATTTTAAATGATTTAATTATTTAATTATTAATATTTTATTTTTGGTTACAATATTTGCAAATAAATGCACGAAATATAAAAATTATATTTAAATACATCTTGAAAGTTCTCGTTAAATAATGTTGCGATAAGTTCATGGAAGTCTGAAAGAGTTCATGTCAGTATTATCAGCGTAGAACCATTATTACACATATTGTCAGAAGCAGTAGGACATCGCGCAATGGAGGTCATCACCTTACGTTTAAGGGTTGCATGCGACATGCACGGCGTGGCGCCGTTGTCATTACATCCAATTTTTTAATCAACATAAATTTTCTACGGATTGAGATCTAATTGTGATATAGGTTACATCTCAAAGTAAAAAGTAATACAAACAATATTTATTCGTTCATATTTTTTTTCATCTTTTATTCAATTATAATTATAAAAATTAATTTACATTCGACTGACATAAAAATTAATTCATCATCTATTTCCTAAGTTTACTCCTAATAGGTAACTAACAAACTTAAATAAATAATCGTTATATATTACCTGCACGATCTAACAAAGTAACTCTAACAAATCGAACTTGTAAGTATACTATAATATCAAATTAAAGAGATATAATAGCACAAAATAAATTAAAAATTAAACTATTAAAATAATACCTTTATTAAAAATTTTTTTTCTATACAAATTAGGTATATTTACAAATTAGGTTTTTCTACTACATAACTCGTTTTATTTTTTTTTTTTAAATTATTTCGTTTAATCAAAGGTTTTTAGAGAGAAACTTATAAAGCTTTGTAGAGCCTTCTAGTAATGAATGAATCAGTTACGTTTTGCTATAACTGCGCATCCTTGCGTTGAACATGAATGCATCCAATCCGTTGAAACATGAGTTGCAACGACCTAGTTTGGGATAAGCGTTCTGCCTCATTTTTATCAGTTAACGTCAAAGAAGCACTCGGGCTCCGATACCAAGATGTTGTCATTTCCACTTAATACGTTTATTAAACGACAATCATCATTTTGGCCGCATTCTCGAAGCGTGCGTCTTATTTTACAAGGCGTTTGCCACAATAGGCTGCATTGACCTGCACCTCCTCCATTTGTTACTGACGACTATAAATCAGAGTTGCTACTATGTGTAAAAAAGGGACAACCGGGACAACGCAATTGGCACAATATCATTAGAATTCGTATTGATATTTGATTAGAAAAGTTATATATGCCCTTGAGACTTGTGTTCTCACTATGATCAAATCACGAAATTAAGAACAAAAAATTGTATTTTTTTTCTTAATATAATTAAAAAAAAATTTTTTGTATGTATTTATGAATTTTCAATAGAGAGAGAGAGGGGGGGAAGAGAGAGAGAGAAAGAGAGAGAGAGGGAGAGAGAGAGAGATGTTCATAGAATATATCAAAAACTCTTTAGACGATATTTGGATCTTACATTCAAGACCGTTTTAAGTAGTCACTAATCAATCAAAGGACTATATTAGCATCTTAAGACATTACTTAAGACAGTCTTTAAATAAGAACGGATAATGAATATTGCCCTTCCTCTGCGTTAGAAAATATGAGTTACAATTAAGAGTCAAAGAATACACGTCTTTAATTTCTAGCAAAAAAAAAACAAAAGTGATCAAGATTTCATTAATTTGAAATAAAATTTTTAAAGTATATTTTACTTATTTTTGTATTATCAAAGGTAATGTAAAAAGTTAATTTATTTTAATATATATTGTAAAAAACAAATTTATATGATTTCTCGCTTCATAATTAAATGCTTCATAAATAAATACAAATGTTTTAAATTGATTTTATATTATTTTAAATATATAAGGTAAATTTTATAACTTGACCGCTCTAATTTTTGATGATATAAAAATCAAAATATTTTAATTAATTAATAAAATTAATAAAGGAAATAATTCTTTATTAAATATTGAATCTCGAAAATAATTAATTTTAATATAGTAATATATTGACTTTGTGCCAAATATTAGTAAACATTAAAAAAAAAATTAAACAAAATCTGAATGCATTATTAAACAATATATAGAATAAAATCTAAGATACGCTTTTCTACAATCAGCATTGAAACATTTTTATTCTTACAATTAGTATTTTGTACTATTAAAATAAATGTGTTAAATGTACATTAATGAAAACTATCTGAAAATCTGAGACGAGCATTAATGCAATCATGGAAATAACGGTAATTGCTCTAAATATTGTAATTTCCTCCATATGTGCACGCATGATGTTGTCACACAGTGATTTATCTCAGGGAGATATATGCAAATAATATTAAGTATTCATTTAGATTAGAATAAACAAAAATAATTTTTTACAAAACACTTTGCACTAAAGATATTTTATTTCACATTATGATACTGTATTATTTTATATATCATTTTATAATATTCATTAGTTTTAAATATTACTTTTAACGTAAATTATAAATAATTTAATACACATTTTTTATATAATTTAAATAAAATAAAATTGATTAATACAATATATTTAATATATTGTATTATAATATTAACATAAATTAACATAAATAAAACGATAAAATTAACATAAATGTATACAAAACAATACATCTATAATAATTAACAATACATATGTGTCTAAACAATATATTTGAGATATGAAAATTTGTTCAATCTATTCTGTCTTTATAAAACATTTCTTTAAAATATTTTATAATTTTCGTATTATATAATAAATTTAAAAAAAAAGTATTTCCAAATAATATGCATATAGAAAAACAAATTATTCATAAGGATAACTTTAATAACAGTGGCATTTTTTATTTAATATCTATTTGTGATATTATATTATTATTACGACATTAATTAAATTTTTCACTTTGATTTACAATATCCATTTAATGAAATGGCAAATACTTGACTGTTGGAATAGCTTATGTCACTCTGAAATCAATAATAAAATGCACGATAATAAAAAATTTTTTAAAATTTATAACATAAATTAATCAACTTACTTCAACAGTAACTCCTACAAGTGCATCAGAATTACGATATAATTCTTTGTGTAAGGATATCGTGATGAATTGCATAAGGGTTGCTTGGGACCGAATAAAAGAAACAACATTCTTAATATTCACTTTATCTAAAGCCGCGTCACCTTCGTCCATAATGAAAAACGGTATTTGCCTATAACTATAAAGAAAAAAAGATTAAAATTGTAGGCCACAATACAAACTTTTATAACGCATAAGAAAATCAACCAATCAAAGTTCCTCTTTTCCGTGAAATGGACAGAAAAAAATGAAAGAATTGTGATTGGCTGATTCTCTTATGCATTACGCGTTATGCATTGTGCAAAAGTTTATGCTGCGACCTTATGTTTTTAATTCTCTCAGACCCATTTTCACAATATATGATTACTTAAAGATTAAAGATTACCAACAGATTCATCAATGAAATTCATTCATAAATTTCTTGGTTACCTTTAATCTTTAGGTAACCATATATTGTAAAATCAGGCCTTAACATTATTCAGTCGTTATCTGTATATTAATTGAAAGCATCCAAAAGCATGTAAAACGTTTCATTAATCGTAGGATTAAGATATATACCGTTGAATTGCAAATAATAATGCCAAACTAGCCATTGATTTTTCTCCATCAGATAAATATTGCAATGGTTGAAAGCCTTTATGTGGTGCTATGCAATTATAAATTATATTGCTTGCATACGGTTCCTCGGGATTATCTGATAAAATAATTGCTTGAGCCGATGTGTTATTAACCAAATTCTGTAAATTAATAAATAAATCAAATAAAAATTGTAATGTACGAAAAAACAAGCTACATAACAAATACAATTTTGAAACATAATTATAAATACTAACTTTATATATAAGATCTATTTCTGCAGTAACGCGTTCCAGACAATCTGAAAACAATTTGTACCTCTTTGCCTTCACTGATTCAAATTGCATTTTTATTTCATCGTATTTATTACGATAGTTTCGAAGATTCGTATTTATTTTTTGCATTCGCTGCTTTATAATATCGATCTTTTCATCAACCTATATATTTATCCAAATATAGAGATAAATTTTAAAAATACAAATCTAACATAAAACATATAATATTAAATATATATTATGTAAAATTATAAATATTACGTACCTTAAGATTTACTAAATCATCAAATTCATTCTCAATTTCCGTAATCTTCTCAAAAAGTTGAAGTGACATGTCTCGTAATTGTTCATTTGTAAAATTGCAGATTTCTTTAGGAAATTGCGAGAAATCAATTTTTGTTAAGATTTCACAACAATCTCCTGACGATTCTATGCTTGAACTTGAGCTACTTGTAAAAATGTTTTCTTCTAACGTACAATGTGTTTTTGACATTGGAATACTAATATCTTCCATCTGTAAAAATAATTGTATTAAAATCGTAAAAATAATTAAACACAATTAATGTTGACAAATCCAACCACTATACAATATTTAATAAGTCATTTAATACATAGATTTTATCTTTAGATTCTTTAAAAACTCATAGACCTTGCATTCTTTAAGTATAATATTGCATTCTATTTTTATCTGCCATATTTTTCTCTGTACAGCAATGTGTGCCTTCTGACTCTCCAAATATAATTTTCCATTAACGTTAATTTGCGATTTGTGTTCAGCTAATTTTTTTGTCACATCCTCCAAATCCTTTGCCACGTTTGTATAATTATCCTTTAATCTCGACATTTTTGTTTCTTTTTGCTCAACTTTAATCTTTGCATGACGTTCTTGCTGACACATTTTCTTCCATTCTGTATCAGCATGTTCTATAGCTTGTTGCCATTTCAATACTTTATCTTTTCACATAAAATTAATATATATAACAATATTAATAATTATAGGTAATATATACTAATCAACAAAAAATAGAGAACACTTTCGAACACGTTCAAAATTGCGCAATATTCAGAACACCGTAACTTCCTATTTTTTGTTAGGAAGTATATTAACAAAGATATTATTTGAAAATTTACTTTCTATATCGTTCTCATTTTCGAAGCCCAATTGATCTTTGATACGATTATATTGTTGCTCAAGCTCTAATTGCCTCGTTTTTTTCTCTTGATAAATTCTAAAAATTGATGTTATTAAACTTATTTTCTTATACATATGTGTATACTTAAATTAAAAATCATATATTGAACTAAAAATTTCATACCGCAAATTATTCTTCTCATAGTAGCTAATATCCGGCACATTAATATTGTTACAAAAATCGGCAAAGATTTCATTCTTAATTGAATTAATATATTTCTCCACATTTTTAATTTCTTTATTTCTTTTTTGCATTTTATCATCAATTACAACTATTGTCAACTAAAAGTTTTGCGGATAATGAAAGTATCTTTCTTTACATATCAATAAAAATTTTTAAGTTATATATGTACATATATAAATATATTAAAATACATACATTTAATGCAATTTTTGTTCTCTCAACTATGTCTAATTCCTTCTGTATCTTAACAATTTCATTTTCCTAGAAATGTAAATTTTATATATTATAATTTGCTAACAAGTCATACGTTTATAATAAAATTAAAGTATAAACTATTCCTGTCTTTTAATTACACACAGCATCTTTTATATCTGTGTCCACATATTTATTTTGGCGTGCGAGTGCATTAATTTCTATATTAATTATATCAACTTCAGATTGCATAAGAGAAATTTTAGGTAAATTTCTGAGTTCTTGCATTAATTGTGCCTAAAAAATTGTGCAAATTATATAAATTGTTATGTGTCATTTATTATACAAATCTTAGAAAAAATTTACAACCTTTTGTTCCATCAATGTTAGTATTCGTTGTTCATCCCATTGTTTTGCTTTTACAGTTAAATCAGCCAGTCCTCCAGATATTAGACCTTTTTTACGATAAAAACATCCGTCCAATGAAACACACTAAACGTGATAAATATATAGTAACTTAATAAATAAAATTAATGTGTAATAATAAAAAAAAAATAAAATAACACGTGCGCATACGTGTGCGTGTGCGCGTCATGCATAATTGTTAGTTCCTAAAATATTATTTTTAATGTTTATTGCATTTTTAAATATGTATATTATTATTACATCATATGCTTCCCGTTTATCATCAGGATATGCTAACATTCTTGCATGTTCACTAGTCTCGCAAACTAGAGTATTTTTAGTGACAAATAAAATCGCATTATTTATATGTGGTGATAAAATATTCAATACATCATATAATAACTTAACATTTTGCGGTTCTTCTATAGCACTGTAACATATAACAATGTTACATGTTATACTATACAAAAAAAATTTTTTTTTTCAAATTACATACCGTAATCTTTCATTTAAAATTATATTTTTTATTGAATCAAGTGGTAAAAATGTTTCAATGCCTATTTTTTCACGTTTTAAAAGTTGAATACACTGAATTGCTATGTGCGTAGTATCAACGACAATGGCATTCATATATTGACCAAAAACTTTAGTTACAGCAACATTATAACGTGAATGAATAGGTTTACATAAGTCAAATAAGCGACCATACTAAAAAATAAAGTTATATTAACTTTTATAGAGATTATATCCATTATGATCATTATTTAAATTCTAATAGTAATTAGTAAAAATACCACGCCAGAGTAAATCTGTTTCAACATATTGATTGTTTCATTTTTCTTATTTTTATACAAAATATTATTCTTATCAATATCTGCCTCAGAAAGCTCCTCTGTAATCTTTACAATATCATTCTCTAGATTTAACGATTTATTCCTTGTTTCAGTAATTGTTTGATTCAGTTCTTGTATTTTTGCTATTTTTTCCATTAAAGTTGTTTTGGATTTGGTACTTGAATCTTGTAATTTTGTGAATCGCGTTTCGAGATTCACTTTCTTTAATATCATCTGCTTTTCTTTATCCTCTAATTCTTCTTTACATCTATTTTCATTATCAAGTTTAGCCTGATCTTCTCGCTGATCATGCATCAAGCTTTTTATTTGTTTTACAGAATTCTGTGCTCGAAATTCAACTTCGTTCGTCAATTCCATGTAACGTTTAACCTTACGTATAAATTGTTTATATTAAGTAAAAATTTACTATAAAAAATGGTAAAAAAACCAAAATATTTTTTCCTAAACTATTATAGTATAGATTTACAGATATTATATAATTGCTAACAGATATAACAACAGTACAGTATACCTGAGAGTTACTGAGTTCTATAGTACTCGTCTGTGACGCTTTCCTTAATTCTGTTAATTCGTTGTTTATTCGTTCTAATTCATTATTTAATTCTTGTATGATTTTTTTGTTAGCATCACGCGCTTTATTCGCACTGTCTAGAGATATGCGAGCGCTTTCACGTTTTTTCTGCCAATATAAAATTTTATCCTTGAAAATAATGTGTTCTGTCTTCCTCTGTTCAATAATATTTTTCATTTTCAGAATATCTTGTTCAATATCTTCGAGGGAACTGGATAATGACTTAAATTGCGATTTTGTATCTTCCAGTAAAATTATCACATTCTTCTTGTCGTGTAGATACTGATCTATTTGCGATTTGATTTTTCTTTCCTTATCTTGTAAAAACTCAACTCTCCTCTTAATACGAAGCAATAGAATTAATTGATATTTTAATTTGTATTTATTCTGTAATGTTAAATAATTATTTTATCACGAGCATATGGAAGATACAAACAATAATAGTTTTATAACAACATAAATAATTTATAAAAAAATTTTTACATATATTATAGATTGAAAATAAATATGTAAGACATACATATTGTTCTTTCAGCTTTAAATATTTGTCTGTTTCTGCTTTTTCCATAATGGCGTATTTCTTTTGAATTAATATCTGTTTTTTCAATTTATTCTCAAAATTTATTTTTTTCGCCATGTTTAAAAGTTCTAATTTTAATCTGTAATATTATTAAAATCTAGTAAGGGAGAGTACAACTTTTTACGTGACCATTGAATTGTTTTATTTCTACATTTTCTTATGTATTTTTTTCATGATCATAATAATAATATCACACTTAAGGAAAAATTGGTACATTGAAATAAAGTTAATTAATCCTTATTCATCATATCGTTACGAAATGATTAACAATTATACTTCAATCATTTAAAAACTTATTCAGAGAGAGTTGCTGATCCAACTTTAAATTAGTTTTAAATGATCGAAGCATATATAACTGACAGTGATTTCGTAATGTAAATAAGGATTGTATTAATATTATTTCAGTATCAATTTTTTGAGTGTACTATCATTATTATAATTTTCGGTTTCAATAAAAAAAAAACATACAAAAATGTAGAAATAAAAAAAGATCTGTGAACAATCGCGACAAAGTGAAAGTTATACCTTACTTTTATCGAATTTCACAACAAACATTGGATGCGTTCCGAGTTATGAAATGCGTGATGCATCATTTGTCTTTGTTTACTAATTATTAAAAAAGGATAAAACAATACATCATGCGCTTTATGCGTGACTCGGAACGCACCCATTACATCATCAGTTAAGGCCCCATTTCACGCAGCGTCAAAGCGCTAGTTAAGCGACTATCCCCACCTTGTGGTACGTTTTTTCTCCAAAAGTCAAGAAAACATTAGCCACAAAAGTCCTGCTACTTTTTCATGGAGCGACAAATCGCTAATTCATTACATTTAATTGTAATTAATGTATGAAACTGACAATTAATGCGTTTCAAAGTGCGTTTAAACTGCTTTTAAAAATGCAATTTCACGTAGCATCAAACGCTAGCGGCTGTCCCCACTTTGCATGACATTGACTATAAGTCCCTATAAGTCGTCGTTTTATCGCTTGAAGTTCGGAGACCTTTTTTCGATCGGAAAACCAAGCAGGGGAATAATTACAAGAAAAAGAAGAAGTTCAAAGAGGTCCAAACTACAGCGAAAAGTAGACGTGTTTGAATCGTTTAGTAATTTCAACCATTTCAAAAAATGAATTTCCGTAATGACAATGGCAGTAAACATTTTCTCTTATCATCTTGTCATTCTTGTAATTTTGCAAATTAAATTTTCTTGTAATTTTGCAAATTAAATTTTCTTGTAATTTTTGCATAATTTCACATAATACCAGCATTTATTGTTTCTTAATCTTTTTAATTACTACCGATAGTAATCTATTTTTCACAATGTTACGGACAAAATACTGTCTGAGCAATTTAAAGGTACTTTGAAACGTATTAATTGTCAGTTTCATATATGAATTAAATTTATAAAAAATTTTTATATTACCGATTATAAATCCACAACAATTAGCTGTTATTTTTTTATGAAAAAGTAGCAGGACTTTAGCGGCTGGCGTTTTGTCGACGGTTCTTTTGGAGGGAAAACGTACCACAAAAGTGAGGGTAGTCGCTCAACTGTAGCTAACGCTTTGACACTGTGTGAAATTGTGCCTTTAGAACAAAAGTATACCTATCATAATCTGCTTTGTACTTATTTGAATCAGTAATCTTTTCAAACATTATGGCCAGATCTTTCGGTTTTTTCATTGCGACACAAGAGATGTAACCTTGAGGTATCAAAAAGTTCTCTGCTTTTATGTCCAAACCCATTTCTCGCAATTCAGTCATATAACATATGTTCGTAACAATCTGAACAATAAAATCTATTAATATCAACTAACATAAGTAAGAAAATAATTTAACAAGACAAAAATTCCACCTTATTATCTATTTTGTATTGATAAGTTCCACCACGAACTGCTCTTGTAAAACTCTTTTTCTTAATACCGTCTACAGCATTTATATTAAAAATCAATTTTACATACATAGCGCTGTAACAGTAAACATTAATTATACATTTCAAAATTTACGACTCAAAATACTATAAGCTAATTCTTAAAAAATATTATTTATGAATTTTTACTTTAAATAATAATTTTTAAGATAAAGTAAATATAGTCTGTATAATTGGTCAGATTAAAACCCCTATATATCAAGAATTATTGCTTAAAATAAAAATTAACAAATAACTTTTTTTACTTCACTCTTTGAAAATTTTCTTACTTTAGCATTTTGAATTGTTAATTTTAGGACATCCCGTATATAATTATTTATTATACAAAAATAAAGAAATAAAATATTTGAATACGTATCTAAAAAAATCTAATAGCATGACACAAAATTAATTAAAAAATAAAAAAATGTACAATATAGTATATTCTAGGACCGTATATATGATAACACAAACTATAGAAATAAATGGTTTAGCTGGATTTTAAATGCTTGTATAATTCTGTGTGAATTTATATAGTACTGTACTCCTTTGAAACGCGCGCCGAAATGATTTTTCGGTAGTTCTTGAAATGCTAACTTTACTAAATTATCGTAGTAATATCACGAATTAAATTGACTAGCAATTTGATGCTTTTTCGCATTTTCGAATGATCTTAATAATGCTGAGTGACATATTAAAATCTGTAAATAATTAATTCTTATTGCGAAAAATATTACCTCGGCCGGAAGTCGAATCCAGATCTCTTATTTTCCGGGCGAGCGTCCTAAGTCGTTAGATCACCAAGGCTCGGTTTTAAAGGACTACATACGAGTATATAAATTCACACAGAATCATACAAGCATTTAAGATCCAGCTAAACTGTTTCAAGCATTGATTTCCGAAAAAAAAATCTTTAATACCGTTCCATCATTGATTCTCTAGTAGAAATTCCATAAATGAGTTCGCTGAGATATTTAACACGTAAAGCAGTCAATCCCTCCCCTAATGCAAAACTTATAGCGTCCACAATATTTGATTTTCCTAAAACACAAAGTGTATAATATCTTGATTTTAATATGAAAAGAATAAAGAAAATTTTATGAAATAAAATGAAAAAAAAATAAAAAATTTAAATTTAATAAAAAAAAGATTTTAATTTATTTTATCTTAAAATAATCTTATTTATTATTTTATTAAACTAAATCAAATAAAATAATAAATGTTGTTAAATTAAATATATATAATCTATATTAATAATTTTAATAAACAGCTAGATTATCCATATTTAATATATAATTATAAATATATACATTAATTAGATTTAACACATAATTACTTAAAAGTGGAGAAATAAAAACATTTAAATATGCAAGAAAATAATTTTTTTGTTTTAAATCAAATAAAATGAGCGTTGTAGAAAACATAAGATATCTCACCGGCTCCATTTAGACCAATTATTGCCGTAAACGGCTGAATGGGACCGATTACCGTTTCTCCGCCGAACGACTTAAAGTTGAAAATGACGATTCTATTTAAAGAAATCGACATTGTTAAAGTAAAACATTTATCAAATACGAATAGATCGATGAGCAAATGACCGTTGAAAATCTGAAAACTCAGAATTCAAAATAACAGGATTACCAATTTGAACATACCGAAGTGTCGAAGTCACATTGTGGGGAAGTGGTGCGCATTTCTGGATTGAGTTCCAAAATTCAACTCTGTCGACTCGATAGTATCATTTTATCTTTATTGGTCACCGAATGTGTTGAATAAAGATAAAAGATATTCAGAGTTGACAGAGTCAAATTTTGGAACGCATCCCTGAGTGGTGATGTAACTTTTTCCCTTTTCTAGGAATGTGGTGGAAAAATTTCTTCATTATTTTCAATAATAAAAATTTTCACTTTTCATATTCTTGAAAAGAAAGTTAAATTATCTCTAATTAACCCTTTGTCGGCAATATGAAATTTTCATCCTTTAGATCACAGCGCAGATTTTTGCATAACGCATAGTGCATAAAAGAACTAATCAGATCCTTCCTTTCTTTTTATTTCACAGAATAAAAGAACTTTAATTGGTTGATTCTTTATGTACTATTCGTTACGCAAAAGTCTGTGCTGCGCCTTTTTATCTTTATGCACTCTGCATACTTAAATCTTAAATTAAACTTTCTATATAAAATCTGAAAATATTCTTACACGTACTTATAAAAGCTCTAATAACAAGCATTTATTCTAATTATGAGTTTTATAAAAAGTAGGATTGTATTTTATTTTTTATAGATTCAAACTTATGTATCAGAATTTATAATCAAAAAATTAATCGTTTCTACCAATTGCAATTAACTTTAATCTCGGTTCAACTTGTTCTTCATCTTTTTCTAATCTTTTTAATCAGAAAACTGTGACGTTAAAGTCCAACCATTAAGTGTTACCGGAGGGTTAACTAAATATTTCAAAATAGTTATTATATGTTTAAGAAATAAAAACAAAAATATATTTCCATAAAAATGAGATCGTGCAACATGAACAATAATAGACAAATATTTAAAATGTAATTATCGCGTTATTACTTATATATCAATTAGACTCGCAGAATAGAATGCGTATTGTATGATAAATATATATTGTGTGATAAATTAAAATACACAAAATCGTAATATTACTAAATAAAGTACTACTTGATTATTATTGTTATTAATATTGTCAAAATACATGTAACAAATTTTTGTTAAAAAAAATATATGTCTTGCTAACACAATAAACCGTTTATTTTAGTATTCGTTTGCAAGTTTTTATTAAAGTCAAATTTTAAAGTTATTTACATTGTTCACAATATACCTTATGTCTCACACTCACAATTACGGTCACTCTTTTGTTCTTATAACATAGATGTACATGATCTGTATACATAATTTATTAGAAAGTATAATAGCAGATTCTTACAATAATTTTAAAATAATAATAAAGAATGTAAACAAATCTAGAAATAATAATACATTATTTGTAGTATTTATATATTTTTCTTCTAAGACATAATTGAGAATTGTCAATGGCGAATATATATATATAAAAAAAGAAAATGTTCTCTTTTAAATAATGAACATTTACGAAACATGTGTAGGAGATGTAGTCAAGTCGAGCGTTAATACTTTGCTCTCCAAACACTCGCCTACCTATAATTCACATATAATAAATTTAATCGACTAAAATACTGACAAAGATATATATAAAATGATTTATGATCAAACAATTTACTTACATCCGGGCAAATTCCGATAAGTGCATCCGCGTGCGAATAAAATTCCTCTTTCAATGATATAACAATTGTCTGCAGCGAGCTTGTTTTGTCACGAATGTAGCTAGCCACCTTTCCTATATTAGTATTATCGAGAGCCGCGTCGATTTCATCCAGAACAAAGAATGGCGCAGGCTGGAAACTATATAAGGAATATAAACGGACGGTGAATGTTAATTGATCATCCATCATAATCAAATTATATCATCAATTTTATGTTCAAAATCAAAATATAAACCTATGAATTGCAAATAATAAAGCTAGTGCAGCGACAGTTTTTTCTCCACCAGACAAATTGGACATTGGTTGAAACCGTTTGCCAGGAGCCACGCAATTATAATTAATGCCATCTAAATAAGGTTCTTCAGGATTTTCTGGTCCAAGGAATGCTTGAGCAGATTGATTCTTCGCTAGACTCTGAAACCATAATATACATAAAAATATACATATACATATAATAAAATATATTTATATT